ACGAAGCGGGAGATGGTGTGGGTGCGCTTATTAATGTCACTGTTTATGATTTATAAATGTTTATTTCAATATCTTATGTCTCACATGCGCACACAACACACACTCACTCGTTCTCGCTCGCACACAATCAGTTCACGCAAACGCGATAGCACGTTCGCGTATTCGTCGCACGCGGTGTCACGGAAATGACGTCGGTCAATTCGCGCGACCGTTTTGCTCACGCGACGGATTGGTTGGGAACCCGTTTTCCAACGCGCGGAACGTCGTCGGCCGATCCGCGTCGCGTACTTCGGAATTCTCCGGAATAACGTCGTATCATTAGAGAATACACGCTATGCACCTTGTGCATTTACAACACGCGTGTCTCGGGTGGAAATAAACAATTTAATTCGCGTTCACTCGCGACTTTAACGAAACGCGGGATAATTACTTCGCGTACGGGACTTATCCCTCCTTCGGGACTCGCGACAGCGTTCCCGATTCTGTTACGGGCGTGGAAAGACGTTCTTGTTGCCGGGCGAACAGCTTTTATAGCCCCCCACTTCGCCAACGCCTTCCCACTCTCACGCGTTCCCCTTCTTCCCACAATTCCGGAAAGAAAGGTGCGTCTTAGCTTCCAGATTCGTTCTATCCACAATTTGTGGATTCCTTCTAGAAGCTTCTCGAACCTTCTAAAAGGAATTGTGGCTTATCCACTTTATAATTCAATCTATACTCTATTCTGGGTTTTTCATACCCTGATTGACATAACTTTTAACGAAACTCTTTTCCTTTCCAGGCATCACTTGGAAATGTGGATCAATCTCTTGTAAGTATCGAAATTAACTTTTTTGTGGTAAAATCATAATAATAATAATCTTTTTCTCATTATAGGACCCTTTCAAGCTACCATGGAAAATAGGTAAGTAACTAAACTCAAATTTCTATTCTTTTTTACTAATGACTTTCTTTCTATTTTTTAGGGAACGAATCTGGATTTGTGGGTTGTTATCGCAATTCCTGTTATGTAAGTAATAATAATCTTTATTTATCAATCATGCATATTTCATTCATTCCTTTAAATGTAACACTTTACAAAATATAATCTCGCATGCCCAAACGGGTCTTTACATCATGAAAATAAAATAAACTATGATATCACAAATTGCACATTACTCGTGCCGGATATGTGGCTTTATCCACAATCTTAGAACATATAATTAAAACCATGACAATGGGTTGCGCTAAATAGAATATAAAATAAATGTTTTGCATAAAATAAACCGACTAGCGACCCGACTAACAAAAATCTATCAAAATAAAATATATACCGAAAATAAACCTTAAAATGAATATAACGACACTCTTTTCAGTCGTTGTCCACAATTGGACTAGCTCGATCACTCGGTTGCTGTTCCTCGGTGTCTTCCTCCTCCTTCCGGGCCTCCTCTGATATAAATGCGCTGAGCATTTCCACAGCGCACTGCGCCTTCCCGAAGATTTCCTCTTCGGTATTTCTTTCTGGTGTTTTATTCTGCGTTATTGGTTCGGCCACAACTTCGACCTCTGTAGCGACCGATGGAGCCGGTTCCAACGGAGATTCCGGTTCCAACCTAACCTAACCTTGCAACCGTTGGCTTTCCAGCCATCGCCTGCAACGGTCGCGCATCCGGCCACAATTCCTGCTGCCGACGAGCCGAACTTTCAGTTAGATATCGCGAACGCGATGTTGGGCCAGGCTCGTAACAACATAATGGGGATAGCGGCGATCGAGGAAGTTCCAACAACGGGAAGAGTGTTGGTGAGTCAACAGGACATTGAGGCGGAGCCTGAAACATCGGCGACATCCGCGAGAGACTTAAACCTCGATTCGCGTTATAAAGACTAGACATGGCCACTAAAAGGTGGACCATATTTATTATTTTATGTTGTATTCATACGTTATTAGTTTATTTACGTTAAAGCGTTTCACAGTAATAAGTTAAATTGTTAAATTCTAGTTTTCCTTAGTTTATTTAATTTTGATTAAGTTCACAAACGAGATTTGTGGTTCAGCGAAAGACAAAAGACCCGAGAGGGCATATTAT